GAATACGTGGTCATATGATAATATAATGAAAATTAATCACATTAAGTTAGATTTTTTTTAACTATATATAAACATATTTTGAATGCTTATGGTATTGGATGATTATGAAGCTCCACTAGCTCTTATTATCTTGTAGCTCAAATAATCAACTATTTCGTGAGAAACGTGAAACTTTATAAGAAGTTCTAAAGATTTCATAATACAATAATACGGTGGCCATGGGCGGACCCAGTAAGGGGAGAGGATAGGCAACTGACCTAGTAAAATAATGATATAAATTTTTTTATATGTAAGAAATCAGAAAAAATACAGCAGCTGAGTTGGTATTTGTGTGTCCATGCCCTCCCTATCCTGAGTTCAAGTCTCTGTCTTGACATAATAGGTTTAGTTTTTTCCCTTTTTTTTTTAATGACCTGGGTAAAAACAATTCCTAGGTCCGCCAGTGACGGTGGCTAAGTAATGATGATTATAGCCCATTAATCACTCTACACTAGGATTTATGTGTTCAAACTACGTATTAGTAAACTTGAGATTATAATTGCATAAGAATGTTGACAAAGAAAAGAAAGAAAATTTGGATGAAACCAACACTAGCAAAACATATGGTCATGTAAAATTGTTTGTATCTTTAAAGTCTACATATACTATTTTACTTGGTATATATATTCAATTTATCGGAAAATAGAAGGGTAACTTATAAAGCCAAGATTTTAAAACCTGGTGTTGGTGATTACTGATTATATTCGAAAACGAGGAGTTTACTAACACGCAAATTGAAATCATAACTTTGAAGTACTTTCTGGTACATGTAAATTTCATAGGAGTCTTTAGGTCACCGATTCGGAAGACCTCACACTGTCAAACATAATAGCCTAACCAAAATAATGCCTATAAGCTATAGCATCGCTCAAAGTCCACCCCATAAGATCTCTGAAGATGAAATTATAAAGCTATCAAAAATTGGTAAATCCTAAAAACAAATTGATGAACAATTAATAATAGACCTCATCATTTAATTAGTGGAATATATATGAACTCAAGTAGTTACATTGGTAATGTTTTACGTGTTTAAATATGAATGATAACAAAATGGTAGTAATAACACAAATTATTATGTTAAAAATCTTGAAACGCAATGCAAACATTTTAATGTATGAATCTATAATACATATATATAGAGTGTGACAGAGAGTTGCGTTTTTCTTGATATGTAAACAATTTAATATTTATATAAGGATATTTATGGATATATGTTAAAGTATAAAGGTGTTCTAGAAGAAAATAACTCAACCAATGTTTGTTTTTTGTCTTACTTTCTAATTAAATTTGATATCTTTTGACCAAAATATTAAATGGAATTTTATATACACTCTAATCTACCACAGAAGTTTATATATCTCTTGATTTTGGGTATTAGGCCGCTCCCTTATCATCATTAGTATGTCTATAAAAATTTTCTAGCCCATGATCCGTTATTAAAATCTACATATTAGAAAGACAACACTTTTATTTAATTTTAAAATATAGTAATTAATAACTATACAAAAAGCAAAAAAAAATCTTCAAAAAAAAACCTATCATGCATGCTAGTAATTTTGTTCCAATGAAAAGTAAGAAGATAAATCGGAAAATTCTTAAATCTGTCCCACGTGTGCAAAGAAAAGACTTTGATCATTCTTAGAACCTGAATTAAAAATGTCAAAATGGATTTGTATAGATGTTGAATTGCTTGGGATTCCTACAACCGTGTGGGCGCCTCGCTTTAGAAACTTGAACCCGACTTTTCTAAAACCCTAACCTTTTTTCTCTTTCTTTCTTTCGTATATTTTTCTAATCTTTTTTACTTATTTAGCTTTTAAAATATTCGTTCATGCACGCTCTCCCTATGCCCACAAGCTTCTAGGGATCCGATGCTTGTATTAGCCATGCTTAATGAAATTTTATTTTAGTTAATTGGGCCTAAATTATTCTTAAAATTTCTAATAACTTAGATATATTCGATTATTGAGTACAGTAAAACTTCTACAAATTATTTTTTTTAATAAATTAATAAATTCTTCCAATCCTAAATTGAGACTAGTATAAAAAATGATATAAATCGATAAATTAATAAGATAATAACTTATTTGAAAATCCTAAACATATGATCTCATCAATATTATAAATTAATAATTGTATAAATTTATCAATATATATATATATATTGTTTGTTTTTCCTAAATTTTTTTTTTATATATTTACTTATTAATAATTATATATATATATAAACATAAATCTAGTATTGTTTGTTTTTCTTAAATTTTTATAAATTGGTAGAGTTCAATTCTAATACTTGTACTATATCTTAAAAAGTTTGTGGTATTTTCTGAACTTAATAATTTCTTTTGTACTTATAATTTGTTTCAGAAAGATATTGATTATAAAGAAAAAATTATTTTTCAGACATAATATTTTTCAAAAATTACAAAATTAGTAAAATCTCTGTATAAATTAATAATTATTAATTTATCGATAAATTAACACCTCTATAAACTAATAAAAAATTTTGATCCCCACATTATTAATTTATAGAGGTTTTACTATATATAATTATTATATATTTTAAATAAAATTAGCATTTTAATGTATCTTTCATACTAATTTTAAAAATCTTAAATATAGAAAATTGCAAGATTATTAAGAAAGAAAAACATGATAATAGGATATACTTCCTCTGTTTACAAAAAGTGTCATTCAACATTTTTTCACATATATTAAAACACCTATTAAATTTTCTACTATCTCCTTATCAATACACTAAATAAATTTATCTCTCTTATTAATATATTAAAAATTAAAACTGGATTTTTATTTAAAATTTTGCATTAAAAATATAAAGTTACACTTAAAAAACAAAAAAAAAACTTTAAAACGATATTATTTGTTGAACGGAGGATTAAAACAAGTGCACAATTTAAGGTTTCGTTGTCTGTACCACTTGACCAGAGTTTTTTTCTTTTTAATTTTTTTTTTTTGCTTCTCACCAAAGATTTGCGTCAATAATTACTTGTCTAAATATGAAACACTAATTTTTTAAAATAAAAATATGAAATTTATAAAAAATCGCACATTCATACCAAAAAAATATTCACATGCTTCTCAAATATACGTGCATGCATTTCCCGTACGTATATGTACATGACCGAACGTCATATATATGTATACGTACAAAATAGATATATAATATAATACATTAATTAAGTGTATATACGTACGTAGACAATGTGGCCATGCATGTGGCTTAAAGGTTTAAAACCATGATATAATTCTGCAAGTATTTCGTCTTTGTCGAAAGTTGAGAGAAATCTCTCTCTCTCTCTCTCTCTCTCTTTACAGTGAAAAATTTGCTAAATCAGTCCTCCATAATGATTTTTTAGGAGTTACTTACGTATAATACTAAATTTCATTTTGATATTTACATTTTTTTTTTCTTTTTGCTAAAATCCCATGCACCGCCCATCGACTCTATACGACTATACACACACACGCGCATGTACACATTACTTATGAATAATTATAATCGTATTCCACCAATGTTTAACATTATATTTTACGCATATGAACTAGTAGTAAGTTAACCTAAGAGTTCATCAATCATTTTTTTTTTTTTTTTTTTTTTTTTTTAGAGTTCATCAATCATATATATATATTGTCATAGATTTCAGTTCATATACTCTGTTATGTTATAGGAATTACAAAGATAAAGATGATCGTTTGTTTATATTTCGGATTTGTCATTTGTGGATAGGTACAAACTTTTGTCAGTAGAGATTTCTATTTGGTTTGATGAAATCGGATGGTACATAAAGATTGAAATATATTTTAGTTTTTTATATTCTTATATTTTGAACAACTAAAGAGGAAGAATAATGGTCAAAGTCATGTTGGAGAAGACTGCCTCAGATTTGGTGAGAATGTGTCAGACATCAAAGCAAAGGCTCGACTATAAACTCTATTTTTTTTTAATATTAACCTATGGTTAAATTACTTACTAATATTAACCTATGGTTAAATTACTTACTTACAGGTTAACATCTAGGTACTTATTACGTCTTCATCATATTGGAATCCAATGGAGGTTAACGTCATCTTGAAATGGTTCAAAGCTACTTTTTTTTTTTGTGTGTGATATAACATAAATTGTTGTTATCCGGCATATAAATGGTCAAAACTTTAACAAAATATGCATAAAACGATCTAAATTAGTTTAGGGTTTGAATGATAATAACGGGTTAGACGGACTATTCGGATAATCTATGACACTGGATCATATTTATTATTCCTTGTTAATGATAATCGAACTGAAAATTAATTAAAAATATATATAGTGTGAGGTCATACTCATTTGATATGCAGAGGGCGTGACCCGAAGCTTGAATGGTGTGTTTTTGGAGTAGGACCAAACAATAACATAATTAATATTTAAAAGAATATCTCTTTTTGTTTTATTTAATTTTGGCTGTCACATTATTGTCTGATTATAATCATATACGACAATATCATTATTAGTTGGAGACTCTCGCAGGCATATATTCATAAGAAAAAAATGTATATTGTATAGCAAGTAATTTTCCAAAAAAGAGCAAGAAATTTTATTAAAAACTGCATTAAATATAATACCTATTTTAATAATACAAACAAACAAAAAACAAACCCAAACCCTTACAAGTCATAACAATTAACAAGCTGAAAACAAAAACAAAAAACAATGTTACAAGCTCAGTTAATGGGCCAGTGAGCAATTGTAATTTCTGGGTTTATGTCACCACAAAGCCCAAAATCAAGTTCAGTTTACATATATGACATTAACTTCTTTTGGATTTCATATGACTGACTGACTACATTGTGGCTTAAAATTCTATCAGAAAACTGAAAATTTAGAGATGTTAATTTAAGATATTGATTTTACGTCCGCCATATTTCATATGTTCTACGATTTTTTTTGTCAAAATCTTGCGATATATTTAAACGAGGTCGGTTTGAATCTGCATAACAGAGGATCTTCCAAACTACAAAACCGAGTCTGGTTCTCTAGAGAGACCGCACCGGATGTTTTTTTCAGGAAAGAATATAAGAAACAAACATTAATTTAAGGTTTCGAGACAAACTTTATTGCATACTTAAATATTTTCTCAAGAACATAACAAGGGATCATACTATTTTCATTGCTCGGTATTCGATCAAACCGCGGTGACTGCGATTTTCATAGCATTTTCACAATGGCCTGGAAAATTGCAGATGAAGAAGTGTTGTCCTTTAGACAAAGTTATACGATCTTTGCCTGTAGTGTAAGTTTTCGCCCCTGCCGGTGTTTGGCAGTTGTTGTAACTTCCACTATCTACCTTCACTACGTTGTGCATCCTCGGATTATAGTTAAACACTGCAGCAAATTTCGGAAATTATAAAATGCTAAGTTAATTACGATTCCGTATACCGACACTAAAACACGATTTCGTATGTGCATGGCATATTGACCAAAAACTTTACTTGTGATAAATGAGAATAACACAACACCACTTAATAATAAGTACTTAACCACGACAATAGTATTCATTTAATCATATTAACACTTGAATCAAATAAATGATTTGAATTAGTACTTAACGACAATAGTATTCACTAATTAAATACATAAGTCTACATATAACGTTGGTTGAGATATTTCTTCATGCGAAAACAATTTTGATTCATCACTATTTTTCATATTTTTATTAATTGTAAACGCACATGAATTTTCTCTTTACATTCTGTAGAATATTATATGGTACAACATATCGCATGTAACAGTATTCGGTATACACATTTTTTTTGGGTGAAATATACGGTATACACATAAATTAAATCAGCGATTAAAAATAATCGAAACTAGAAAAATGGAAGATGTATACATACATATCTATACGATTGGCAAAACAAAAATACATACATATCTATATCAATAATATAGTAAAAGATATCACAGGCTCAATCATAGTAAAAGATAGACACTATTTAAAATATTGACCCTAATTATATATGCTAAACATTTCTTTATAATATCTGTAACCTTAAAATATAAGAAAAGTTTGATTTGTCGTGTACTTTATACAAAAACACACCTTTGCCCATACTAAGAACCAGCGATAATATGTATACATCACTAGTGGATATGAAGATTAGAAAACTTAATTGTTTGTGGTGTAAGTGTAACAAGATAATATAATATGAAGCTTGATTAATTAAAAGGATGTGAAGTATACCAAGAACGTCGCCGGCTCTAAAGTGTTTGCCTTTAGGCCAACCCACAGCGTTAAAGGTCCAGACACCAGAGTCTCCGACCGTGTAAGTTGCAGCTTGAACGTAGTCAGCTTGAAGCAATAACACTGACACAACCATAAGAGTCACTATGGCTCGAGCCGACCATGATGCACTGCCTCTTCCCTTGGCCATCTCTCTTTGGTGAAAGTTTAGAGAAAGAGAGAGAGAGACTATAGAAAGTGAATGAGGATGAATTGAAGAGAAGATGTACAAAGGGCTTATAAAGAATAAGAAACTAAAGGCATTCAATGTTTTTTATTTTTATTAAATCGGGTGTCTCAACAACCCACGATATATGTTCATTTATTATTTTTGGCCACATTGTCTGTCTAAAATTGATTATAGACTTAACTTCGGTTTGTTTTGTCTCATTACTGAAGATAGAGTTTGGTTTTGACATAGTTACATATTCGTGAAATTAGGTTGAATTTTGGTTTCTTTTGAAATGCTTATATCAACTAGTAAATAGGAGGAATGTGTGTGGACAAAGACTATGTCATCAACAACCCACGATATATGAGCATTTATTAATTTTGGACACATTGTTTCTAAAAATTAATTATAGACGAAAGTCACAAAACAAAAATCATCATATCTTTGTATGTTTTTTTTTTTTTCATTATTGGAGATATAGTTTTTGGTTATGATTTTAGTACATAGTTTATAGGTGAAACTAGGTTTGAATTTGTGTTCTTTCATTGAAATGCTTTAATTTGTTATATTAGTTTTAGTAATGTTGGGAAAAACGTACACAATCATAGATTAAAGAACCAATAGTATCATGTGTTATTAGGTTGGACTATAGAGTTTGGAATATGTTGCTTCAAGTTTCTATTTGCGAGGAAAGGAACACACAAATATAAAGTGATTCAAAATAACGAAGATGATCACTATGCTAATAATATATTAGAACCATATTAAGTGAGAAGAGATCGTACTGTAAATTTAGAGTCACATTGCTGTGTATAACATATAACAAAACTAAATGTACAAAACCTACATACATATACGCCGAGAGGAGAACATGGTCAAAAAGAATTGAATGGATCTAAATCTGAATTTTATGTCTATACTGTCGGAAAAAGCTTGTGGCTCGGTTTTGTTTTGGAGATCCGGTAAAAAGATTTTACCCGATGTGGAAACCGGTGGACTTGAAAGAACTAGATAGCGTCGGAAGCCTTTGCAAGGCAATAACTCCAGCAGCAAAAGCAGCAACAGAAGCCAAAACAAACGCCGGTAAATTTCCTCCTCCAAACAATTGATCCCATGGACCCGCTCCAAGTGATACTATCATCTGTTTAAAACCAAAACCATATTCAGAAACTAATTACGGGTCAAGACTACACTCGAAGGGAGTGGTATTATTCAAGAGAATGAATTTTATCAGTGTAATTAGATTTGGGAGATTGCCTGGGGAATAACGATTGCGAGGTTCAACACTCCTATAGCCAAACCTAGAGCGAGGAAATTAAAGCATTAGGGATTCCTGAAATCTAAGAATTTAAGCAGAAAACTATGAATGTAGTGAAGATATGAATCTTTCCACAGACCTTGACCGCCACCGGAATCAGCAGTGACTTCTGCTGTGACAGAGAAAGGAACACTGTATGTGATCTGCATTAAAGAGGGGAAAAAGATGGTTTTATCACATATTGTAGAGAAATTTTGCAAGAAGATAAGAATAAAGATAATTACGGTTGAAAGAAAACACATACAGCTAGAGGAAAACCAAGGAGTGCAAAGACGACTACAGCTGCGGTTCTTGTTGTTTCGTTTCCATGCATTATGAATTCGACTCCATTTTTGTAATCACCGAGAGACATCAAGCTAATTACAGCTGTTCCCGCCATGCATGCAAATACAGTAAAATTGCTCAGAGCCCATACAACCCGTGCACCCATCCGCTGACACATTGGTTCAATGAGAAACGAGCTGATCCCAAGAACAACCTACAGAAACCGGGAAAAAGAAAATTCAATAACGGGCGAGTAATGGTAATTTGAAGAGCAGACCAATTCAAAAACATGTTATTATAACTATTCTTACAGAGTTTAGTAGCAAACCAAGTGCACCTTCACGTACACCTTGATCATAGAGTTCCACATGCAAACTATCTCCTGTTGGATTCCCGTGGTAAACTTCTCTTCCCATCCAATCTGTATCGAACAAAAAGAAGGGGAACCACGATAACTGCAAGGAACAAGACCACAATCAAAATATAACAGAAGGAAATCTTATAAAGATCATTAAAGAATCTAAGAACAGGAAACAGTGTCACAAATGTAATAACTGATCATAATATTTCTTTGGCACTCACCCATGTAAGAGCCATGACGATCAGAACTGAGTGCATAGCCGGTGGCAAATGCCTTAAACTAGTTAGCAAATTCACTAAAACAGATCCAGGGCCATCAACGTAGGTCTCATCTTGATGCTCATTCTTTGAATTGCCAAGCTGTACATCCATATCACGTTTCACTCTCTCATACTTGATTCCATTGGCAGTACCATGATTCAATTTTGAGTGCACAAGGCCTTTAGACTGGAGATCATCCAACAAAGGTGCAGAATCTGGTATGCGGGTGGGTTTGTTGCTTGTAAAAGGAATCTCTTTAGCAAAATAGATTGTGACAAGAGTACATATAGTGAGAAAGACCTGAAAAAATGTTTGAACTCTTAAAACATATAGAACAATATAGTCATTTTAGACTATAAAACAAGAACAAAAGCCACTGGGTGCATTAATATAATCTAACTTTCAAAAGCACCTCAAAAATAATAGACATACAAAAAGAATGCATTGATTTGCGACATACTACTCGCAAGTCACAATATATAAACATGAGAGTGATTGGTAAAGACCAGACGATTCCATTTCATTTGTAGAAAGCTTAGTAAGATGCATGTGTCAGAAAATTAAACATACTGCTTACCACTGCAAGAAGAAACGCTGCTTTGAGATTTCCACATGCAGCACAACATGCTCTACTAGTTAGGAAAGGGAACCATCTGCCCAGTAAAATTGCCGGATCATTTAAGAGCTGGCGAAAAATGCAAAATTGCAAATGAAGAAATAGAATACAAGTATTTGAGAATAAGGATCTCAAAGATTACTCTTGCCAACGTCCACTAGCACCAGCAGAAAACCCAAGGATATTCCCAATAGCCATCCACAAGCAGAACACAGCATTTGCAGTATTCCGCTGATCAGGACCTAAGGACAGCAAGAGACATCTCATAAGTGTTGTTCTACAGAACCAGTTGCACAGCATATTCAATCTGATTCTGTTTTGTTAAGTGTATGGTTATATTCCATTATTACCTGATAGATCAGCTAGAAGAGCACGAGCAGGTCCCTGAACAAAGAAAAGCTGAAAACATCATTCATGGGTATAGAGGTAATGACTAATACCATTCACTAGAGTAAATTGCAGAAAGCAGATCTGAACCTGTACTGTATTGTTCGCTAGATCCAACAACCAAAACCCAATGATAAAGACAACAGCTGCCCTGGTTCGTGTGCCTTTGAAAGTACTGCATTTACAGATGCACATCAAGTCGTCAGTTACTTTAATTTTATACACTCATACAAAACATGCCATAGGCAGGGGAGCAGGAGATTTACCTGCAATGTTCCTTTGTATCTCCTAACAGATACCCAATGTCTGCAGAAAACCCGATTATTATCACCTAAATTGCAAGCTTTTGTTTAGCTTATATAAAACACATTGTAGCCAGCTATCTCCTAAAGGAAAACTAAAACAGAAATCATATCTTCTATAGGCCCTTACTGATATTGAGATCATGAGAGATCCAACGAGAATAAATGGTCGTCTTCTTCCATACTTTGAAGTACATTTATCACTCCAAATGCCAACAAAAGGCTGGACCTAAAACCCAACAAACAAACAAAAATATTTAACAAAATGGGGCAGGAAAAATGTATGCCCACCTAAGAAAGGTAGTTTCTGATCCTATATAAATCAAATCTTAAACTCTTGTGAGACCCATACGTGCAAGTAAGTATAACTGCTAAAATTCTAAAAGGAAATAAAATTAGATTGCAAACCTACCACAAGGCCTGTAATTGGGCCGCATAGCCAAATAAACGAAGAAAAAGCATGCGATATTCCAAGGGTCTGCATAAACAAGCCAAATGCATAACTGTTAGAGATAAAACTCAGCAACGAGAATAGAAAACACTGCGAGCAAACAAAAATCTAAGAACCGTACTTATCTACCACCATAACTACCCACCTGATACATAAATGACCAGTACAATACAATTCATATATCTGAACACAATTCAGTTGAGTCCTGTGATAAACATTCTGAATAAACGCTAAATCTGAGAAAAAAGCTAAAAAATGTCTCTTACAATAATTACATTGTTTACAAAATCCAATGAAGAGGCAATCTAGCTAAATTCCAATGTCAAATAAAGCTGCTTGATAAGCCAATGCTATAGAGTTCCATACGAAAATAATTCGTAGCTATGTTGGTAATACCTAACCTAAGTATTAGACATCAGTGTTTCACCTACAAAGTACTCGACTTTCTCGTACAAAGCTACACGAGAACAAAATTACCCTCGAAATCTAAATCAGCATAGTGACAGAAATGGCAACAAAGATAAGAGAGTAGTAGCAAGTACCTGAATATAAGGAGTAAGAAGAGAAAGTTGCAATGCCCAACCAAATTGAACTCCAGCAGCGACTGTACAACTAAGAACCAACGTTACTAAGCTACAATTCTTCGACACAGATTCACCATCAGCCACATCAGGATGATTCAATGGAGAAGAAGAGAAGGACGATGAACCAGATCCATCTTGATGATGCTTCGTCACCGTCTCAAGTTCAATTTCCTTCCTCAAATTCCTATACGGAACCGAGATCGACACCGAGTTACTCATCGTCCTCAACACAGATCCCTAATTCGTATCAAATCTAATTTCTCATTCCGATTTAGGTTTCGAGGGTTTTGTTCTCGTCGATCTAGATTCGGAGACGATGATCGGAGATCTACGCAGAGTCAAATTCGGGCGCGTGAATATGTTTGATGAAATCGATTTTGGGGTGATTGTGAAGACGCGGAAGTGAACAAGGAAGGAAGATTCGTTTTTACAGGAGCCGTTGATTTGTAGATGAACGGCTGAGATTAAAACCTACTGGTCGTAACTTACTAGTCAACGTCTTCGTCTCGGGGTTAGCGC